TGAACACAGTACCTGTGGTACTGTTTGAATCAAGACTTCATAGTACTTGGTAAGTTACAGTCCTATGACAACATGCTTCTGGTAAAAAAAAGCCAAACTGAGACAAAACAAAATGGTTAAGTTTGCATGTGACAGGCCAGCAATGCAAACTTATACCTTATCAAACTCAGTCAATTCAGTTTCATACATGACTGGAACAAAAGCATTGACCTGGGTCAGAACTAAACTTGTAGGGGCTCTCTGAAACACTGCTCAGCATTCTTTAATCCTTTGCCACTGCAGCTAAACTACTCCAGCATCATTACTGCATCTGTTGGCAACATTACATGATTACTGAGCATCATTACATAGAAATGCACACAAGAAAATTTGCTTCATAGTCATTCTTCTGCTTCCAGTCATTCTAATCCCAAGTCAAGAAAATAGAGAATGTATCCTTGCCTAGGTCTTCATATTAGCAGGAACAACGTTTCAGGTGAGAAAGAAATTTAGCCATGAAGAATAGACTGGGGCAGGACAAGTTTTAAACTTGTAATAAAAGTTGGCATATACTCGACACAAAGCCTGAAAGAAATAGAAAAGTAAAAACTCACATTAAGAATTTCATCTTTACAGAATACTAAGGCTTCAGGTTGTTTGCTTGAAGGAAAAGCTTTCTCAAAAGCTACTTTTGCAGCAGAAGCAGCAGGGGAGTAAGTGTCACACTGAGCAATCAGCCAGTATCCCATGATACTTTTTAAGTAAGGCGCTAAGTGTTTCTTTACTTTAAGAATCAGTTGCTCAAAAGACTGCTGAGTTGCTTCTCGAACACGGCGATCATAATCCTGTTAGGGGAAAAAAAAAGAAAAAAAGGTTTATTGTTTTAAGAAATGTAACTTTGAGGCCAAGTACTTCAAAGCAGAACTGACGACAAAAACAAAAAAAGCTGTGTCTCAGTTCAGCCATTTTTGCAATGACTTGGGCTATATAGATAAGAAAATACACAACAATGACAACAGAAAAGTCTTGGTATCCCTAGATAAGGGCAGAGTCCTAACTTAGCAGTATCACATTCCCAATGCGCCGTCCATTCAAAATTGTAACCTTTTCCTGACATCCCTAACTACAGTTTTTATTTCCATTTTATACAAACATTTCACAAAGACAAAAGGCAAGAGAAATTTAGAGACACTTTTTGGATTAAAATGACCACAAGCCTATACAAACTGTGCATCATTATCCATTATCTGTGTATGAATTTACAACATCATGACTTTCTGTGCTCTTGGCTCCTCAAAGAAATAATAGGAAAGGCTCTAAGTAATCAGAGCAGTGATTAATTTTGTCCACTATCACATTTGCAACAGTAGTCAGTCCAGACAGTTTGGACATGTATCAAATATATTGGAAAATTATGGATTATATGGCTATGCATGGTCTTTTCATGTTTGGGGTTTGGTTTTTTGTTTTTTTTTTTTTGTTTTTTTTAAGTATTAAAGACTGCTCAGATATTAGTCCTAGATCAAAAAGATTTATAATTATATTAAGTGAGCAGTACATTCTCTTTAGCCATTCTGGAATCTACATAAAAGAACTTCTCATGAGAAGAAATATCTTGTCATCTTTTTAACATAAAGGTCTAACAAACAGCTATCTCCATCCAGCAAGTATAGCCCAGGCCTTAACAGTGTTCAAGATTCCACCCAGTGCCAATACAGAAACATCACAATAAAGAACACTACTCTCCTTAAACTTCATGTTTTTCCTAGAACAAGTCAGTAATTTCAACAAAATTAGATATATCAATAAAGACTGCCTTAGAGGCTTTCACAGGATGTATTCAGAGAAAATTTAAATTTAGATACTTTATCACTTACTAGTGAGATTTTGCAATAAATTCTTGGCCAGTAAGGAAGAACACCTTTAACAACTTCCGTTTCTCTTCCCTTGCACATCGTTCCAAACTCTTGCATAGCCTGAAATCAAGCATGATTTAAGAAGTCAGACAGATATGTTCTGTAATTTACCAGCTTCTACCAGACACTACAACTCTCATTTTCAAAAATCAATTCATTTCTTGCATCAGAGCATCTATAGAGTTAATTTTATGAATGTTCCATCAGCATTGCGTGATGGAGCTTTTTATAAGTCCTGCAAGATACCCTCTGGATTGCAGTTCTAGCATATTTACCAATATGAGATCAGTATTAGCTACCTTGATATAATCCTCTCCCAATCTTAAGAAAAATGTATTCTTTTCCAATTAAAAAAAAAATAAAGGGGACAAAGGATACACATACTTTTAATTTTGTTGTGACATCCCTTTTAGAAAGCTTTCGCAACACCATTCGAAAATCAGCATCTACAAGGTTGTCTATTTCCTCTGCTCCTTGAACTGCAGGAACATATCCTAGATCGCTCTGAGATGTTCCAAAGCCAATAAACCCAGGCACCGTTCCACGTTCTTTGGCAAGGAGCTCTGCAGCTCGGCCGCTGCTAGAAGGCTGACAAAAAATAGGGACTTAAGTCAGTTATGTATTTCAGTCATTTTGCTTTATTTGCACACATCACGCACTTGAAGTAATGATCCTATTTATCATTATATTATTATTCTATATATAAATATATGATGCAATTATATATAATTAACCTCCTATGTAAAACAAAGTCTCACAGAAAAGGCAACCTATGCTTTAAACATAGAAGTTTGACCTAGAAAATTACTCTTTAGAATCAGAATTCCCTTTTCTCATAATCCATGAATACTTACGGAAAGTTTTATTGCTTTTATACACATACAAAAAAGTATAACTGAAAAATCCTTCTGTAAGTGAACAATTTATTAAGAAACCATTTACCCTCCTGCACAACTGTTCTTACTAGTTCTCGTTCTTGCATATAGACCAATACGGAATGCTCTTCACATCACTGGGAAAAATAACACACGCAAAACAAAAGATGCGACCAGCAACAAAGGGGCCAAGAAGGATTTAGAGGAATGGAGCAACAGTGTACATATGTAACACATTGTAACATGATCTCACTAGTATTACAGTGAGTGTTCTGGAGTGCAGCATCTCTTCTAGTTTGTCCCAGTTAAGAGAACACCTTGCTCATCGTATCAGTGGCTCATGTTTATTTCAACCACACTCTTTTAAAGTGACTGTCCCAAAACTGACTGATGCTTTAGTGTTTTCCGTGATACCTTACAGTCCAAATACCTTCTATTTCTTAATTACAGTGCACCAGTAAACAGTTCAGTTTTGTAAGACTGTGGTTGGTTTTGGTTTTGGTTTGTTTTTTTTTTTTTTAAGTAACGTCAATTTGCTGAAATTCATCATACTTTTCTAATTTTCTTGATGTACCTAAGTCACACTTTACCTGACTACTGTATCTACAGATTAAGGCATTTTTTCTGCATGCGAAACCTCAACTATAAGGACATACTTCTTCGTGTCCCCTAGTCTTCTCTAAATACGTGAGGAGGTTTGTAGGAAACGAGTAACCTGCACACGACGCTTCCCCCACAACTCTCCCACCCTGCGCCGCCCACGAGGGATGACACACCACTTCAGGCCCGCCGGCAAGGCGAGGCGCCGCCACAGACGCACTCTAAAGACCCTCCGCAGGAAAAACACACTAAACGTACCTTACTGAACTGACACCCGTGGCGACTTTGCGGTTACTCCCTCCCACCCTCGCCCCTCTCCGGAAAACGCGCGCAAACGCCCCAGGACGCTGCAGCCCCGCGCCCCCCCACAGCACGGGCCCGGGCCCAGAGTCGCCCAGGCCCCGGCCCCGGCCCCGGCCGCTGCAGTCGGCCCCGAAGGCAGCGCCTACAGCCCCTTCCCCACGCAGCGGGAGCGGCGGCCTCCGCCCGCCCCGAAACCCGGGCCCCGCCGGAGCCACCGCCGGAGGCCGCGCGGGACCCGGGGCCCACAGGCGCGACACGACACGACACGACACGACACGACACGACACGACACGACACGACGCGGCGGCCCCGCTCACCCGCAGGTTGCCCTTGGTTCGCTGCTTGCACTTGCCCCCCATGATGATGATGATGATGATGATGGCGGCGGCGCTGGGGAGCGGCCGGGAGCGAGGAGCCGCGCGGCACTTCCGGGGGGCGGGGCCCGGCCGGGCGCGCGGCGAACCCCTCAACCCACGCAAGTCTGTGGGTGGGTGCTGCGGCCGTGGACGGGGTGGGGGGTGTCGCGGCGCGGCCCGCAGCCGCCCTTCTCCCTCGGAATGCGGCTCTCCGAGGCGAGCCGGCGCCCACGGAACTGCCAACGGCTCCCGCGCCCGCCGGCGCGTTGCTGTGGCATAGCACAGGGCGTCGGCCTCATCTCGGTGAAACACCCTTAAACTTTGCACCCCTCAGGAGACCCTCGCGCGCACTGCGGGTCCCTTGTTCAGCGGCGGGACCGGGGGGCGCTGGCAGGGGCTCGGGGTTCGGCAGGGTGGGAAGCGGAGGCAAACCCGCGCTTGCGGAACGCAGCCACCCCCGCCTGTCATGACAAATTTAAAAAAAAAGGTGTCCCCGGTCCGTGCCGGAGAGCCCAGCGTCACGGATTTTACTGGATCCTCACAGAAATACTTAATCGACGTCAGAGGCGACCAATGTCTGCTTTTTAGGACATGTCCTTGATTTAGATACAGAATCCACAAGCAAAGAAATGGGCATTCGTTGCTACAAGCATGTCGAAACCGGGCTCAAAAGCACACGCAATGTGACGCGCTTTAAATTAGTGGACTGCAAACTTGTGGACTGCGTAGGGGGAGGATCGTCCTTCTGTTTCGGAGTGCTCTGTGACGGAGCCCAACGCTCAGTAAGCGCCTGCTTTTACGCGAGTGAACAGGCTGGGCTCAGCTACAGACGCAGTGCAGCCACCACAGCATCTCCCTCCCTGGTAAACACACTTCCACCCACGGAAAATTCTTATGCCTTGGAGTGGGCATGCTAGCTCATCCAGTTGCATGAAGAAGGCTTTTGAGAAATTGCTCCCTTTTTTTTTTTTTTTTTTTTTAATAAAACATTAATCTTGTGGCTTAACATACTTTCAGGTAGAAAGTAGAAAAAAAGATTTTACAGAAAAGTCTTCATGGAGTGTAGGTATTGAGTAACAAATCATGTAAACATCACATTTCCTCCCCCAAGATACGCGCACTTAATTTTTGTCTCTCCTTGTTCACATATTCGCTCACCATAATTCCATCTATTCATTCACCTATAATTCTGTAAATGCCCACTAGGTTATCAAATGTATTTTCTGTCATTGCAATTAGGTATGCACCCTCGATGTCCTTAAAACCAGGAAGTATAATAATGCATTCATTTAATCATTTTCATTATTCAGGATGTCACTGGATATTTGTTTTCATTGAAAACTGGATTCATCATATTACCCTCAAATTATTCATTCCTCCTCTGATCAACTGTTGCAGAACAGCTAAGGAATCAGTTACAAGGATTAACTTACAGATGTAGGCACTTGGACTTGTGGTGATCTTCAACCCTTTCAATGCCCTTCAACTCCAAAATACATTTGAAAAATGTCAGCACATCCTTTTTCTTCTAAAAAATGATATAGCTGCCCCAAATCCATATGATTTCCTCTGGCACCATGTGCATCGAAACATTTTTCTTCCAAAGTGGAGAACTTTCTTTGTTTCTGAATCTCAGCATGTCCTCCACCTTCCAAAGAAACATCTTCTCTGTGCCGGATGAGAATTCTTTTCCATGTTAATCTTCTTACTCTGAAAGCAATTGGAGAAATATGAATCTATCTATAAAATAAAGACTGTTTTAGAAAATACCATGAAATAGCTATTATCACAGAAGTCAATAAATTCCATTTGTACATGTATCTTGAGAGAAAATGGTTCCTTAGATGGTAACAGAAATACTACTCACACGCAAACACTCCCCTAAGGAGATTGTTTCTTCGTATCTCCTCAGGATTCAAAAACCTTAATGTTATTCCTCACAAAATAATTGATGATGATGTGGTTTCAATTTTGGTGCTCACTTCTGCATTGCCTGTGGTAAGAATTCTTATACTATCTTAGCTGTTATAATCAAATGACGGTGTTTGTTTAGTCTGCACTGCCCAGAAGTATAAATGATGGGAGCAGAGTAAAACACGAATGTAAAGCGATATAACAACATACATATCTAACACGACAAGGACGCTTCAGTCCATCGTTATACAAGTGAAATACAGAGGAAGATAAAACAGAAATAAATGTGCGCCATGTGGTACTAGCAGCTTTGATTGCTGCAACCAGCATTACAGTGGATTCTCAGAATTGTAAATACCTTAGAAACACAAATACTTTGCAGACCTTTATGTGTTGGAAGGTTGTTGAATTTCCCACCTTTTGGCCACACACACAGCCTGAAAAATGCAATAATCTACTACTGGCATTTAAGTACAAAGAAAAACTAACCTCGACCAGAACTCTTCACAACTACTTTGTAGACCTTCTACACAAACAACACCTGGTTTCCCTGGCATGCAAAACCCTGACAGAGACAGCTCCTTGGCCCAGTCAATAATATTCTTTCTTTTTTGTTTGTTGTAAATGTGATGACTATAGATCCACAACCGAGTGAACGTGATGACTTCTGGCTGCATGGCATTTGATGTCGTCACGGAGGAAGATGAAAGCTCTTTGTCAATGTAAGCAGCTGCATGGTCTTTAACCCACTCCCTTGCACTCAACATGCAGGGCTCACCACTGCAGTTTTCCATCAAGTATGTTTTTAGATCTGAGTTCAGGAGAATCTGCTGAGAGCGGCTTAATAACGATGACCTAAAGAAAAATATAAATGTAGCTGCAATATGTTTACAATTTAGCATGTTTTTCAAACACTTTTATTTCAAGCTAGCAAAAAAAACCCCAGCCATATTTAGATGCTATGCACTTGGTATTGATATTTAAGTCATACTAGCTATGAAAAGGTCTTAATTTGTATTTCACTGGTGGGCTAACTCATGAGTTCACATATAGTACTGTAAATCGAAATCAAGAAAAAGGTATTTGAAAATTAAGTGTGGTGGCCAAACTGATTTCCTGTAAAATGCAAGGCTACTTCCTTAAACAGAAATGTTCCAATAAAAAATAACAGAAGCCAGGGAGTAACAGCATTTTGACAAGGGAAGAGTAAGACAGTTGAGTAACTTGCCACTCCTTTAGTTATTGTTAAGCCTTGTCAAAATGGACAACACTCACTCTTGAGCATCAGACCTATGACCAGTATCTACATGTAACCCCTCTGTACAGAAGAGGGCACTCCATGCTTTTCCCATTTTTCCTCACTTATTGCTTAGGAGACCTTGAGAAATCATAACCTTGTAGATTCGTCTTCAACATTGTCGCCCATCTGGCTTAATTTTGACAGTAAACTATCAAAAAAGGGCTGTTTTTTTTCCTATTGTAATGGTATTTATGTAGTACACCATAGTTTATAAATGTTTTTATTAACTGTACTCTTAATGCCATACCTCACAGTAATTTCTGGTAGAACAGTTGGATATTTAAATGGTAAAGCACAGGCCATAGAGAATTCCACCTAAAAACAAATGAGCAAATGTTCAGTTCAAGTAAGCCCTAAAATCCCACAAAATAAAAAATAAATAAGTAACTAGAGGTGAAAGGTGTTCACAATACCATCGAGGCATTAGAGACCTCTGGCTTTACATTCAGTATAAACTGAACTTTTGAAGATGGCATCTCTGCAGACTCATTTTCAACGTAGTGTTTTAGTTCTGCTGCAGCCAGCTGGTCCGTCACAATGAACTCCTCCTCGTAAGGAAACATGCTAGAGAGTAAATCTAATTCTGAAAGTTGTACCTCAGCTTCTTCTCGGTGAGTCATTTCTGTTGTTTCCTAAGCAAAGAAATCAGGGAAGAAAAATGGGGCTCGAGTACGGGACAAAGTTCATTAACTACACCCAGATAAATCATATTAGTCCCCATAACCAAGCCCATCCAAACGAGCCCACGCGTGTTGAGCCGTTAGCAGCCCGGAGATACCCTGTGACAGCCCACGAAGCCCACAGCCCCGATCCCGGCGCCGCGGGGGGAGGCGGGAGCTGCCCGCGCATGCGCTGACACGTTCCCCAGCCCCCTTCTCGTCACGGCCCCCCCCGCCGTGCCCTCACGGCCCCACAATGCAACGCGCCGGAAGCGCGCATGGCAGCCCGGTGACCGTCGCCCAACCGCCCGGGGAATGAGGTGAAGTTGCTGAGCTGTCTCCAGACGGAGCCATGCACCACCAAGCTGTTCGTCCCGCGGCACCGGCAGGTGAGGGGCGGTGGTGTCGGGCCCTCACTCTCTTCCGTCGCGTTCCTACCACCGCGGCCGGTTTCCTTCCCCTCGCTCCGGGACTCACTCCTCCTTGGGTGCTCCGCAGTCTCCGCTCCGGCCTGGACGCTCGGCTTTGCCTACTGGCTGCGGCGCCTGTCAGTGAAGGCGCGGGAGGCGGGTGCGGGCCAATCGGAAGCAGGCGGGGCGGTGCAGCGCGGCGGCTCCGGGGAGCACGTGGGCGGTTCGGCTCGGCTCGGCTCGGCTCGTTCCGTTCCGACTCGGCTCGGTCCGGGCGGCGGGACGAGGTGAGCGGAGCGGCTGTGGGGCACGAGCCGAGCGCCCACCCGGGCTGTGCGGAGTCCCGGGGCGCCCCCGCTCCCCGCCGCTGCCCCCGGGGCGGGGAGCGAGGGCTCCCCGACGGAGACAGGTGCCTGGTGGAGCCGCCGGGGCCCGGCCTGCTGCCTGGAGCCCGCCGCGCCCCGGTGGTATCCCAGGCGTGCCTCTGCGGGCGTGCTTCCCGCGCCTCCCTCCGACGCAGGTGCACCTCTGGTCTTTCGCGCACCGCTCTATCATGTTTAAAATTTAAAAAATAAATAAGCAAAGCAAACAGTCGTTTTATTGCTTCAGCTCTTGGGCTCTGCAACGCTTTTCCTCCAGTGGGCTGTTCTGTGGAAAAGGCTGGCGAAGAGCCTGTCAGACAAGTCTGTCCAGGCACAGCGCGGGTTAAATCGACAGCTACCTTTGTTCATGCTGTCCTGCCTTCCCGGCAGGAGCAAAGTCAAGTTGGAAAGGATTGTAACGGCTTAGAGTTGTTCATAAAATGTTATGTAGTAGATGGAGTTTGTTGGATGATCTGTTTGTTTGTTTTTGTTTTTGTTTATTTGTTTGTTTGTTTGTTTTTGTTTGTTTGTTTTTGTTTGGTTGGTTGGTTTTTGTATGTGTGTGTTTTTTTTTTTTTTTCTGAACTAATGGAATACTAAGTTGCAAAAGGTGATCATTCTGCTCTTGATGAGGTGGCTGCCTATCTGTCATTTAACTGGGTAATCTGCCCTAAAAGCAGGCTTTGAAAAAGTTTTTTATACAAAGAAATCCTCTGCGGGTGTCCTCTCTGAACTCATTCCAGTTTAGCTTCTGCCCGATTCTCTTGGGCTGGCTTTGTTTTTTGGCTGTGACAGCTCCAAGCGGACAGCTGTTCTCTGTGGCTGGTGTGCTGCTGGGTACGAGCAAAGGAATGGTTTTGAAAGGACAAATGTTGGGAGTCAGATTTAGTACTGTGCTAACATGTTTACGTAAGGGGTGGTCAGCAGGGTTAGGCCAGCCTGCAAAAGAACACATAAGGCTGTGGAGACTTGATTTTGAACTCTTTTAGCTTTCATGTTTTCATTGTATAGCCTATGTCAGTTTTTAAGTTTACCTGATCTTTTTGAACGACCTTGTGTGTGATAAGGCACAGGGACTCACAAGGGCTGCAGACTAGAAGCTAAAAGTGTCCTACCATGTGTGCAGTAGCCAGCTTTTTGAAGACAAGCAGTTGTCTTAGGACTCTAGGGGTAGATCACTCTTGTCTGGAGAAGTCTGAGAAATACCAAGTAACAGGCCCCATCTGAATTACTTGCTTGGTGTGTTGGGAAGTTGATGATAAATCTCTCCCAGTGAAGAATTTGAAAAATTGTAACTCCCATTATCTGTACATTTTCAAATACATTAGAGCATTTGCATGTGTCAGACTTCATCAAATATACAAGGAATATACAGTAAAGAAAACTGAAAGACTGTCATTGCAAATAATGTCAAGATTTAATTGGGACAAACACAATTCTTTTTCCTAAAGTCCCTGTGTTAATTAAAGTATAAGTCCTAAAGGTTTATAGGATTTTTGATACTTAAGGTTCCCATCTTGTTGTTTTGTGTAATGCTTTTGACTTAAGGTTTAAAATCACTTGGTTTTTATAATGTACACTGTGATCTTGACTATACAACAGTTATAATTGTTTCATATTCAAGTATAATTAATTTATCTTCCTTTGAAAATGTCAAATTAAAACAAATTAATTCACTTCAAGGGACATCTTGGTCATAGAAAGAATTAATTGTTTAGCAATGAACAATTAAAACCAAAATCTACTTTCTAATTTACTAATTTCTTTGCTAGGTCACTGTTCCATGTAAGAAGAATTACTGACTGCCAGTATGGGAAAGAAACGCATCAAAGGCAGAACTTCACAGTCTGACGAGTCTCCAGATACGCTGGGTATGTTTCCTCAGAGAAGTCTGTGGTCCTAATGTTTGTTTTAACTTCAAAGAGTGCTTGAAAACTCATTAATATTAGAAGAGCTTTACACTAGTCACTGGCTTTGAAGTCTCATTTACAAAGTGTGGGTTTGTATAATTGAAATTGAAGTCTAGCAACATTAGTGTTGCTGGTTTTTTAAGTGTGCTAGAAAATAATAATCCTGTCTTGAAAATTAAGATTATTTTCTGTTTTTCAAGATACTCAGACACGCAGTTCTTTACTGGTACACAGATTGTATTAAATAGTATAAAATTCCTCAGAAAATAAAGTGTTTGTAGGGTCAGCTACTAAGTTTGTTGTGATAGGTTTAAGTAGCATTTTACTAATGACAATTTTATTGCAGGAGATTCTCACTTCAGCAGAAAATATTGTGATTAAAATATTTCTGTGAAACCATTTGTATTTATACTAGCAAATAACTTAGTACTGGTGCGGGACACATCAGCTCTCTAGTCATAGTGCTTTGTGGTTAAAGCCCCATTCTCTTCCTCATCTTCTGTTCATAATAGTTCCTAATCCCTCACAGTTAATGTTATCCATCTAGTTGTACTGGATTTCACCCTTATGTTGAAATTCTATTTGTTATCTTGTTTACCCTGGTTATTCTAGCTCTTGTTTTTGCTTGTGCCACGTAGTGTTCTCATACACCACCTTGTCTACCAGGTCACAGGTGGTGTCTTGCCCATCTTTGCTGTTGATCTCAACTGGGGAAACAAATTGAGCCATGCCAATTTAGCTGGGAGAGAGAGCACTTATGGTGTTAGCCAGGAGGTTTGGAGTCATGGCCTTTTTATTTTAAATTCAGGTCTACCCTACTTTGGTTTTCTGGTTGTCCCAATCATGTGGTAGCTTCTGTCTCCTATGGCTTTTTACATTTTGTTTTTGTGGGTTTTGTTTGTTTGTTATTTTGTTTGTTTTTTTCCCCTGGAGTCAAGATCAATATCTGCTGTGACTGGTCGTCATTTTTCTCCAGCAGAGAAATCAGTTACGGTGCAATTGCTGATGGCATCTTGCTTCTTTGGCTAAAAATAGGCTAGGTTATCCTGACCAAGTCCTGTAAAGTCACAAATGTAAAATACGACTGATCATTGTGAGTAATTCCAGTGTAATAGTAGTGGCCAATATACAAAAGGTTTGTTTAAAAAAGACAATTTTGAAGTTGTAGATGATGCTTGTGTTTTTTATAAGGGCTTAAAGAATGCATCTAAATATCTATATTTGGCTCTTACTGGCTAGCATTTTTACTGTGTTCTATAATTTTGGACAGAAACAGAACTGTAGGTAAAAAGCTTTTCACCAGTTTCAGCTCATGCCAAGAAAAGTTTGCTATCTTGAGGCTATAATACTGCATATGGTCATCAACAAAGATAGATTCAGAGCTGCTACACTATCTGAGCAATAAAAATACCTTTGTAGCAAAAGACTTAAGACAGTTGAACTACACAAACAACTGTGTAATTCTTCTCAATAACAGTTTGACAAAACTTTTTTTTTTTTTTACATATTAAGTACATACAGCATTTTTCTTTTAGTATGGGTTTGTTTACTCTGTGTTTTTTGACTTTTGAGGTAACTTTGTCCTGTCAGATATTCAACCCTGTATTTTCAAATTTCAACATTTGTAACTGCAAATAGTGATGAATTGTAGGCTGATGATGCTAAATGTCTTAGAAACATACACTGTAAAAAAAAATATGTTCCTCATTTTTTATTTGGAAGAACTTGAATCAGTTTGTATATGCACTGTCCATCAATTGCAATTTCTGTGTATGTGACTTAGACTTGCAGACAGCTTCTCTTCGTGCAAGTGACAGTGTCACCAGCAACCTTAAAAATTGAACAGAAAAGAAGTAAGATAATTAAATTCCTGATAGTAGCTCTTAGCAACAGATGCCTGTTCTTGATGTAGCCATTCTTAGCAGAGTTTAGTTAAACAGAGGTCACACCAGGCCCAGAAGGTGCATCTCCAAGCAGGGTGTAGTATTGTAAAGCAAAGTGATAATGGTATAGGTAGGATGACTCTGCCATTTATTTTTTTTTTTTACCATAGTCTGCTGCATAATTTCACTGAGGCAGCTCAGCTGGAAGCATAACCTCCATAATCTCCACTCTTATAGGCCAGCCAGGTGCTGCCTTGGTGACTGGGGACCGTGGCAGTGGGCTGTGGCTGCTCCCTGGGAGGTGTGGGAATCGTAACGCCACAATAATAGAAACCCACAGCCTGGCGTAGTAGGTAGGTTTGTATCCAAAAGTTTTGTCAACTTCTCTGACTAGATGTAGATTTGAGCGATACTTTTTTTTTTAGTAATACAGTCATGTAGGATGCAGCAACAATATCCCTGGATTGTGAGTGGGGGTAACAGAGGATTTCTTTCTGACATGGTTGCTGAATTGTCAATGTTTCCTTGATTCTAGAAAAGCTATCTTAGCTTCTGGATTGCTCCCTGTGTCTTGGACATTTGCATTTGTTACGATACCTACATCCTTCTTGTGCTTTTTATTTTTTAGAACCTGTGTGCAAGCATATTCGTAAAGGATTGGAACATGGCCATTTGAAAAAGGCGCTGCTGAATGTGGAATGGCATGTTTGTCAGGACTGCAAGGCAGACAATAAGACACAAGAGAAATCCAAGGAGGAGGCTGATGAAAGCCCTTCAATATGGTTATGTCTAAAATGTGGCCACAGGGTATCTCTTGTTTTGTTGCTAATTTGTATTGATATCTTTTGGTGTCTCACAGTATAGTGAAACAAGAGAGCTTCTAATTAAATTCTTATATTCTCTCTTTTTTTATTTTAAAGGTGGTGCTACGTAAATGACTTCATATACTGTAGTGTGATTAACGTCTGCTCTGAATTGCAGATGGAGTACGTAGAAGCTTGGCACAAAGGCATTTAGCAGGCTTAAGGCTAAAACACCATCTTGAAGACTTGTTTTCCTAGAAAGTCCAAATTACTTTGCTAAGAAAATAAAAATTTCTGTTAATGCTCCTAATTTGTGATATTTACAATAAGATCTTATGCTCACATTAGTTTATTCAACTTAAAACTCTGCATGCTGAAGAGGTTTTTGTTGTTTCATTCTTCAAGCTGTTCAGACTGGAATTTGTAAATTAGATGTTCAGTCCCCAAGCAACTTTATAGTTATTCTGTACCAAACAAATTGCCTTTCTCTCTGCAGAAATAAGTGTCTTGAAATAGAGACCCATCTGTTCATCCTAATTAATTTAACATAATTAAACAGTTTTCATTTTAATACTTTGTTTATACTCTGACTTTATGTATGTTTCATTGATAGTCAACTGGATTTTGTGACACTTCTGGTTATCAACATTGTAGGGCTGTGGCAGAAATTCTCAAGAACAGCATGCTTTAAAGCATTATGCAACGCCAAGATCAGATCCCCATTGTTTGGTTCTCAGTTTGGACAACTGGAGTGTGTGGTGAGTTTGTCAGGCAACAGTTATAAGACATAGCTAGAGGGCAACAGAGGCTGGGATATAATTTGAGTTTTCTTTTCTTTGTGAATTCTAGGATTTATCTCTCCGCGTATATAAAACATTTTCACACACAAAAATCCCAGCATTCTTTGCTGAGACTTGCTAAATAAATATTACTTTATTGTAAAATTCATAACTAGAAAATTTTCATAATTGAAGTTGAAATGGACCTACTAGTAAATGTAGTTGACCTTGTATTTTACTTTATTTTGCTTGACAGAATACTGACATATGGAAACAGATGTTGATATGTAGCTCTAAATCTTAACTTTCAGCCTTGGAAGAATCTCCTTTCTGATGCGCACTTAGTGACAAACTTAGTTACTTTTATTTTCTCAATAGATATGAGTTCTTAATACCATATGTATAGTTAAAAGTTGCAAGATGCTACTGGAGCAATCAATACAGATTCCATCTCCCCAGAAGTATTTCTTTCTCTTAAAAGGAATAGTATGTTACTATATAAGCAGCAACCTTAATTTTCTAAACTGGGCTGTACAGAAATACTGTGCCTGACATAAAGAGTTTTCATTTTACTTAGTAACCTTTTCTTAAAATTATTATTTGTCATTATGTTCGTTTTATATAATATTATCTCTTTACTTGATCATATTTAGCACTTTTATGTGTAATGATCACTATTTTCATTGAACTCTAGAATGGAAATGTCTGTTATTAATAACATCTATTACTAATGAACTAGTGAACTTTTTGTGAATTTAAATTAGTGTTAAAATTACGGTTTTCAAATTCTTTATTTTTTCTGTTCTAAAACTTACATAGTTTTTAAATCAGAGTACTTGCAAATGAGAGGAAGTTGTCTAAGCAAGTTGTTTTGCTTCCTTCTAGAATTTCTTGGTTATACAAACTTGCACAAGAAATTATTCAGATATTGATATATGGGGTATAAATTATTGTTACAAATCAAACTTACGATCAAGAACTAGATTCCACAGTAGGCCTAGTACATAAAAGCAAAAGCAGTTTTGATCAGAATTTATTAATGCTATGAATGTATTAATAAATCTCTAGATGATGTGTATGCATATGTGGTTGAAATTGGATTTGAATAGTACCTATAAACAGTTAAAAGAAATGTTTTGAACTTGGAGAGGAAGTTGGCTAGTAATTCATTAAGTTCTGCTGTTTTGTGTTTACAAGTGCTTTGTATGCATTTTCAGTATTGGTATGACATAATGGTTGGATCTACTTATGCTTTTCCCCCACCGGTCAAACAGCCATTGCTGAAAAAACCTTTTCCCATTCCTTGATTCCTTCAAGGTTACCTACAAAATATCTGGTGGATGAAATGTTACAATGTTAAAATTGCCCATGGAAGTAACTATCATTTGGTATTCCAGGAATGAGAATGTTTGTCTGGTTAATTATAAAAATAAGCAATAAGTATGTACTCAGGGATAGAAAAGTCAAGCCAGTTTTTTTAATGAGATATGAAGAAATGTGAAAATTTACGCTAATTCCAGGGATGCTAGAAACTTAGGGAAGCACTTTGCTGCAGACTTCTGCTGCTTTCAATATCAGAAAATAGTCTGACATATGGTAATCCTGAAATCTGCTAAATGCATTTGTGCCTAAGAATTGGTGTGTTTCAAAGTGCGGAAGTATTTGCATTCTTTTCAATACCTTTTGTCACTTCAAAGAGCTGTTTGAGCAGAACTACAAAATCAGTACATACAACTCTCCTTCCGCTGTATGTTTTCTGGCAGAATTTTACTCTTACTTGAGCCTTTATCACTGCAGCTTCTCTCACAATTGTGTTTAAAATGGATTAGTGGCCTATCCACACTCTTCTTTCCTCATAAAGAGACAAATAGGGTTGTGTAAGGAACGGAAGAGCAAATAAAAGTGTACAGGACTAATGGAGGACACAGATTTATTTCTTATGCAATTTGAATATAATGAAGTACTTGCTTGGCTAGAATACCCTGAATACTTTTCCATGCCATAACATTCATAGGTAATTTTCTTTAGGGCCCAATATCTTAGTTCTTTGATTTTGGTAAAGTTTTCCCTGTATTTATTTTTTTTTTTTGCAACAAGGTTTCTAAGCACACCTTTTAAGAGTCTTATTTATATCTGTAATTTGCAACCTCCAGTCACTGAAATAATTTAATAAAGATAATTCTAAAACTTTTTATTTTCTTGATCAGAAATAGATTGAACTCTTCCCTAAGACTTCTAATTCTGTCCTGGTTTCGGCTTAAAATATCTTATATCTTAAAATATGTAAATCTTATAATTTTGTAACTGTAATTAATTGTATCAAACAAGCAAATAGTTTAAGATTTTTAAACAGTAGAAAAAAAATATAATTAATTGTTTTCCTTTGGGGGGCCGGCGGACACAGGTGCTACATATGTGATAATGAAGTTCCCTGTAATACTTCAATCCGATTGGGCCAGACTGTGGATTATGTTAGAAAACAAGTTTGTATTGACTCATCACGTTCAGGTAAGTAATTACATAATTACATACAGTAAATCAGAAAGTCCTTTAAATGTAGGAGACAGTCCTGTAAATCAAGAATGTATGCTAAATTAGATTTAACTTTTGGAGCACCTCGTGGTAAAGTAAAAAGCTAATTTCTCTCCTTCCCTACTTCTCTTTTTTTTCTTTTTTCCCCTCTGTCAGAATTCTGATAGCATAAGTAACATCCTAGCCTGTGGACCTAATTGGACCAGGATTTTGTTCAGTGTCCCCCAAAGTTTTACAGACCAGAAATACAGGAACAGAAGGAAAAAAATACAATTTTGTTGTGACTTTTTTTAAATTGTGACATTTGGTCACTCTGTGAGTAACGAATTGACTTTCAGTACTTAGAAGTGCTGTGTTTATTTATCAGTATTGCTCTGTCTTGAGAGCTGAAGGAAAATTGTCATTGCTTAAGGATAAGTTGATTTGATTTTTTAAAAAGTATTTTTGTAGGTATTTGTGAATGTATCAGCTAGAATGACTAAGTCTCCAGCTGTTGCAGCACATTTCCTAATGAGAGGAATATACAAGAGGATTTGTCTGCTGGGTCTGTACATTTAGTATAGGTAGCTGCAGTGCATTCAGAACTCTCTAAAATAGCGTGTTTGGCCTGCAGTCTATCTGCAAAATATGGTTGTTTAAAAGGAAACAAACACAATAAAGCTCCCCAGTTTCCACAATGGCAAAACTGGTTTTGTACAAGACATTTTCACTTGAAAGCTTGGAAGAATTTGCAGTCTTGTGCATCTGCAAAGATTTTCTGTTTTCCTTGCTTTCTTTGAGCTGACATTACTTTAAAATAAAGTTAATCTTGGCTTGCAGCCCTATTTATGAGAAACCTAATCATTAGTAAACTGCCAAACTGGCAGAACCAGTGTGGGTGGTGTTCTGAAAATTACCTGGAATTCCCTTATAGTTTTATTAAACAGGTCATTGAAATTTGAGCTATACACCAAAGTAATTTGGGGGAAAATATCTTTAATGTGTCTTGAAGAACATAAACCTTCCAGGTTCATCTGTTCACGTTCATGAAGAGAACATGAGAATGCTTTGACAGTGGGAGGCCTGTGCATTTCATTTTGGACAATAGTGTCACGTCAAAAGGAATATTAGATGCCATCTTGTTGGATGTTGCATAAAGCCTTAACACAGGCGTTTTTGCAACAGGAATGAAATTTCAGATAACACATGCAGGGTTTCAGAGATTGTTGGCACGAATGGCATGTGGGCCAAGTGCCATGTTTAAATTACATGCTGATCTGAAATGGCATTTCAGGGGTTTCTTGATATCTTCTGTTGGTTTGTTTTGTTTATTAACTCCTAAGAACCTAATCCAGTAGTGTTACGTTTATACAAATATGGAATTAATTATCATATGCTTAATCATTGTAGATTGCTGATGCCTATAATAACTTTTTTTCTAGCCCATTCATTGTTACTGGGTTAATATGTGGTATGTTTTTTTAATTATTTTTATTTCAGTAGAAAAACAACAAGAGAACAAAGGATTTGACAACAAAAAAGTAGAAAAAGACAGCAAAAATGAGCAAGAAAAAGAAGTGTCGTTTAAAGAAGAGAATTCTAATTCAAGTACTAACTCAGAAGTGACTGTGAAAGGACTTAGTAACTTGGGGAATACATGTTTCTTTAATGCAGTGATGCAGGTATGGTAGTTATTGCTGCTTTTAAAAAACTCTGAATAGCAAAAAAACCCAAAATCAGCCCACAACAACCCTGCCCCGGTATTTTAGAATGACATAATTAGAAAGTGTTTTTTATCTGCGAAGAATGATGGGTTCTTTCTAAAAATAGTGTGTTGGCCCAGAGAAATATGAAGAAATGAAGCTGCAGGTTCAGACTTGCTCTAAGGAGAAATGTAGCAAACTGCCTTGTCTTTGAGGCATCTTTCACTAATGTAGATTACGCATGCTAACTTCCTAGTTTAGTTAAAAAAAAAAAAATAGTCTGGACATCCACCCCTGCTGTCCTCTTAGAATGTAAGAGATTAATATCCAAAGACTATGAGAGTTTACTGAAACAAAGATATGTCTCAGTGACAGGAAATCAAGTGAAAGTAAATATTAACAGGATGAGCATATTGCATTTTCATCTTGTGTGTCTTGCTCAGCCAAGAAGTATTTGGGTAAACTTGCTCTTTCATGTGTATGAAAACTCACGTGTAATCTTGTGCTCTTTGGCTCTTGATATTGAAGCTTTACTCAAATGAAATTCCCACTGTACTTGCAGGTTTTAGGAAACTGCTTGGTTATTATTTTTTTAAAACATGTTTAAAACCAAGCAAATATGCACACTGCCTTTTACCTTTTAATTTTTAGAAACAGACACTAGTGAATAGACTGTCAAAATATCAGTCTCTAGAACAATAGTATGTTTGGGGTTTCTTCAGTATAAAGTAATATATAGAGAGGACACCTAGAAGTCCCATTAGCTGTATGGAATGTATCTTTAACTGTATAGCACTCTGGAAATTCTAACAGTGTTTGTTAACCACTCTAGTTCTGTGTCTGAGAAAAATAAATTGCTACTAATCTGCCTGTTTCCATGACCACTGTAACTCATCTGCCCTTCCTCTTGTTCTCCAGTTACCAATCTTCTTCTTTCTTTTATGTTCTACAGAATTTATCACAAACTCCAGTCCTGAGGGAGCTGCTTAAAGAAGCTAAAATGCCTGGCACAACAGTTAAAATTGAGTCACCTGAGTTATCCATGGTATATATGCTTCAACCTCCATAGTGTTTCTTCCCACCCTTCCAGTCTGTTAGAAACAAGCAATACTCATCTCTGGGTTTTAAATCTGCATCATCTAAATACTAACAAGATTAAGATGTAAAATCAGTGAGAACTTCACCACTGACTTCCTTAAAGCTGCTTTTGAAGTCAGCAGAGGTTTTTCATTCAAAGTGAGAGTTGTGATTGAATACTCCAACAGTCGTCATCAACAGAGTACTTACATAATGATTAAGTTATTTAAAGGATGAAAATAGGTAACTTTTGCTATAGTGTCACTTGTCTAAATGCAAAATAGGAAACTAGAGGATGTGAGTAGTGCTAAGTTAAATAATGCACCTGTCATTACATTTAGGGATTTGGATGCAAAAGAAGGGCTGTGCATTTTAAGAATTTTTTTTTTTCTTAATGAAAGCAAGAAACCCAAAGTTGCAACTAAGCAATAAATAATGAATGATTCTTAGCCTGGTGTTTTGGTATCATCTTATGAAAAACCATGTGTTGATTGTTTTTGTAAGGTTACGTTATTACCATTTTGGAATTTTCTGTATTTTATTTTGTAATAACTTTTTCAAGAACTGAAGTATTTAGATAATGAAGAACTTACTCCAGAAGGATCTGTCACCAAATTAAGGCAAAACAACTTTGTTGCTTTTATTTAAAACAGGAACCTCAGCTGATAAAACTAGATCAGCCAGGTCCTTTGACATTAGCCATGTATCAGTTCTTGACAGAAATGCAAGAGACAAAGAAAGGAGTAGTCACTCCCAAGGAACTTTTTGCTCAGGTTTGTAAAAAGTGAGTATCTGTAAAATTGCATGTCATGGTGAATATGAAACAAGTTTGGTAGTTGTTTAAAGAGGTCATTTTTCTCCCTTTTTTTTTCCTTGAGCTCACCTCACAGCATATAAAATTTGTATAATACTTAACAGGTTTTGAAAGAAGAGGATAAAGAGCAAAATATAAATGAAGTAGAATGACAGATATTCAGTGACCTATTCTGATTAGCTACCTTCATATTTTTAAAAAATACCATACATAGACACTTGTTACTTTTAAATACATACATGCTTTTGTGTCTGGTAGGAATTGTTTTCACTTTGTGTATCTCTAAGCTCAGTTATACTTTACAATTACTGTTTCATTTAACAGAGCAATACGATTTAAAGGTTATCAGCAGCAAGACAGTCATGAATTGCTTCGTTACTTACTTGATGGGATGAGAGCAGAAGAAATCCAAGTGAGTGCTAATTTCACAGTTGTGCATACCTTTCTTCTTCATACATCAGACCAAGACTTTCTCCTCTGCTAAGGGGAGAAAGAACATTCTTTCTGAGATAAGTCACCCTCTGTGGAGCAGTTTGTGCTGCCCACAGTGCGCACTTGAAGCAGATTTACAATGGAGCTGTAGAACTGGGCAGCCTCTAAGCAGTGGGGTTGTGAAGGAGCAACCATGGGCATTACTACTTTGATTTAACAAAACTCTTCAAAGAAAGAAGTTTTCTTGTGGTCTATATCTCTTACATGTATTGCATACAGAAAATAGGATTATTTTCTGCCTTTTTGGAAAGCAGCGTACTGGCTATTCTTCTAATAAAATCAAGTAGAAAGGTTCAGTTTTGCTTGCTCTAAAGGTCTTTGGTTAATTCAACACTTGTAATATAAATGTCTGTTGTCCTTCAGAAATAGACTGACTTGTCCAAAACTTCTACAGAAAAAGTGGGTTTGGAGTATGTGTAGTCACATGAAAGAATGTCCTTTTATCTTAATTTCTAAAATGCCTGAGAGTTCACTTGTGGAAATTTTTTTTATTATTTATTTATTTTTTATCAACAGTTTTAATTTGGGAAAGTATTTCATCCTTGCACTGATTTTCTTACATACTAATTGCAGCATTATGGTTGCAAGCTTGTTTCTTGGTTGGTTATGTTTTTAATAACCACAGAACTATTTTGTATCCCTACAGTGATTTGTATTGTTTGTACTGATTCTCTTAAGTGGTGAAGATTAAGATTTTTTTCTCCATCTGAAACATTTTGAAAAATGAACTAGTTGGCTGCATTTGTTTAGGAAATTTTACAGTGTGTATTTATTTTGAAAATTTCAGCAAGTGAGTGTTGGAATACTGAAGGCACTGGCTGACTCTAACAAACAAAATGAGGAAGAACTTAAAAAGAAAATTAAAGGTAAGATACATGTTACTCATGATAATTTAAAATCTTCTGTTTCATTGAAGTACACAAAGTAACACTAATAGTATCAGCTAAAAGATACATGTTTAACTGTACAGCCTCATGCTTTTATTTCTTCAATATGTGTGTATCTAGAATATAAGGCTAAATAGTGTTAGTCTATTTAAATGTCTTACTGAACTTGGTGGTGTTCCCTTCTTAATAGTGTGAGAAAGAGTTGATTCTATAGACATTATATATTAAAATATGTTTGGGTAGTGTTTAATCATTCAAATATTGCGTAAGAAATTAAAATATTGGCACATGAATGTAATGATTTATTCCAGTGATAGTCTGTTTTTACTTAACAGTGGTATAAAACCAAACCAAACAGTGAACAGAAGAATCTTTAAACTTTTCAACGTGACTTAGGTTAGAAAATGAAGTGCAAGTTTAAGTTCAGACTATGTGCTACACTGAAATTGGTTTTGTTTGTAGGGGACCTATACAGACAAAAATTGGTGCTTGTATTTTAGGTTCAGACAGTTGTTTGAGTTAAGTTCTGTGAGAAAATGGGAACTCTTACTGTGATGCAGTACCTCTGAGAAAACAGGGAAATGTGTTTGAGTTGAGAAAGTGGTAAAGGTGTTGGTTCAGTCAAGCTGTCTTCTGCAAATGTTTATTTTGTCCCTATTCCTTTGATTTACAAAAGAATCTTAATTTAAGAATCTTGCTGTACTTCCTGAGGAGACTAAAACAAGCCAACAGGTTCCATCATACATCTTGCCTATTATATTCTCTTTATTTATTTGGTATGCTGTAACTAAATTGGTTGCCAGTATAGTATATGTAATATTACTAACTTTAATATGTTCTTTGTCAATTCTCAGAGTATGAAAAGAAAAAGGGAATACAAAGTTTTGTAGATCGAATCTTTGGTGGAGAATTAACCAGTACAATTATGTGTGAGGAATGCAGAACCGTAAGTAAACTGCCTGCTTTACATAGCCTAGAGTATATTTTTATGTAATCTGCAGGAGAACCCCAAAGTAACTATATGTAGAAATAAGTTAAATTGGAGAGGTTTGCTTGAGTTAATGCGATTCTAAGAGCTGACTAGCATCATCCTTTTCAAAGAGGGACATGGTTTGGCTGGAATCTTTCCTCCCTTATGTTATAAAGCTAATCTTTCAGTTCCTTTCAAAAGGCTTCCAGAAGAAGGTCAGCAACAGCAAGCTGCCTCTGCCAGATGAATTCACTCTCAGATTCATAGTAAACACCTTTCTTTGGTACAAATTGTAGAGTGAATTAGTTGTTCTGCTACCAGCAGTATGCTGCCAAGGGCCGTTTCCTTTTTCATCAGATTAGGTCTTTACCACACTGGAACGACCATGAGATTGACAGGAGAATAGTTAAGCAAGAAGGCATTATTGGGATAATACACCCTGAGAATGAAGTAAGTAAGGGTATTAGTGTGGGGGCTAGATGAAAATGTCTTGACAGATCTCAGATGTTGATCTCACAAGCCCTAAGTTGGGTTCTCACATTCTAGGTCACTAGAAAACTGAAGTTTGTGGAAGTATTTCTTGCTTATTTCTGTTGTAATACGACTGCTGGAATTTGGTCATGGATAGCTGTTTGTGAAGGTAGATTAGCTGTATTTCATGGTTGTATGCACAAGTGAAAGCACGCACTGAATACAAACAAGGCCACCTACAAATAAGCCTACTGACACCCAGTCAGCCACTTCCAAACAATATTAAATTGTACTCTTGAATATTAATTTTGAAGGTATCCTTGGTCCATGAGTCTTTCCTTGATCTGTCACTTCCTGTACTAGATGATCAGGTAAGAAATTGTATGTGCTTGCTTTTTGGCTTAGCTTTTGTTTGCTTATATGAGAACACCTTTATTATATAATCATTAGGGAATTACTTTGTCTTTCTAAACATCTCTTTGGAAAGTTACGTTTGCCCAGAAAGATAGAGAATAAAATTTTCATGAGAGTAATTCCTGTAAGTTGTGGCTCATGAATTGTCTCTGGAATATCATTGATAGTCTGCTGGTGATCTTGCTGCTTTGTTAGTAAATGTTTCTAATGTAGAGATTGGTTTTGGGAATAACCTAGTATATTCCAATGTTATCTCACTATTGTAGAAGACTGAGCTGCAAAGAACAATGTCTCTCAATTCATCTTCACGGTTGTAAAACTGAACTAAATTGCATGAAAGTGATGGGTACATAGTGGTTGCTTTTTTTTTTTTAATTTTTTTTTTTACTTTTTTACACAGTGCAAGAATACTTCTCGTAATATTCAGGTTATTGAATAAAGCTAAGAAAATTTGGTAGGATAGCATGTAAATATTTATTTGATCAATATTGATTTATTTGATCAGTCTCTGGACACTGAAAATAAATATTTATTTGCTTTGTGTTTCATATTGATAATCTGTATATGTAATATTTCAGATTTTTTTATGTAGCACTGCTCACACAAAAACTAATGAGTATACATTGAAATGAAACCCCCTCAGCCAAAGGGATCGTATGTCTTCTGCAACAAACAAGTTTAATTTTAGCAGAAGTAAACAAATTCTGTGGCAGACATTTCAACTGAAAATGTCTCTGTGTAAAATGTTACTCTTCAGTGCATTTAATGAGATTTACATCTGTTAGAGGAAAAGGTCATGTTGCCTCCTTTAGAGGTTCAGAATTTGACCCTTGATAGCCTTAATTTTTCATACTGTTTCATTCTGCAAGTCATTGTTCTCACATGGACTCCCTCTGGAGTGAGACACCTCTTTTGTAAACATTAAGGTGGCATAAATGAGTTAGTTTTATATTTTTAGTCACTAAAATGTTATATCTTGAGCTGAAAACATCTTGTCCCCACAGTTTTCTTTGGAATACTATTTTGTTATTCAGGACAGTAACATCTCTACATCTGTGGTTGTTTTGTGGCTTTTTGTTTTCTGTAGAAAGTAAAAATTTCAAATGAGAGAAACATTAAAAAAAACAAAGAGAAGGAATCTGAAGATGAAGAGGACAAAAACAATGACTGTTATCTTAAGCAGAGAGATGAGCCCCCTGGTACAAGTAAGCACCTTCAGAAAAAAGCAAAGAAACAGGCCAAAAAACAAGCCAAGGTTTGTTTTGATAAGTATTTAACTTTTATTAATGAAGTGCTTGCAACTTCTGGTAAAACAAATTCTTTTTGCTTCCTCGGATTAAATTAAGGAGGGGACAGCTTAGAATTTCTCCTCACTCAGATGCACAACTGAAAAGACCAATTGCATTTATGTCTTTGCTATTAAGAAGTTATACGTTCTGTTAAGAGTTACTGTGCAAGGAATAAGCTACTATCCACATAGATGTGGAATTTGTTTTGTGTGTCTGAAGTAGCATTAGTTTGTATCAGACAGCTGTTCTCTAGTCATTGATTGCAAGAATGTTCACAAAAATTTGGAATACAGACATTAAGAAAGAATCATGTAGATATGAAAGGAATCATAAGTTGTATTTTGAAGATACGGTTTAACAAGGAGCAGTGGAAACTATATCTGAGTGAGGATAAATTCAGTAGTGGTTGAACTGATCAGCTCCGATCACTAAATCATAGATTACTCTCCCCTTTCCTGCCCTTTGCATCAGTGCCATGCTACAAAAATTTTGATAAAAAAATGCTAAATATAATTTTAACTTGCTCTGGTTTTTGTATTCTTGTATGTTATATATTCTGATTTGTAGAGCCAGCGCCGCCAGCAAAAACTTCAAGGAAAGGTGCTTCACTTGACAGATATCTGTGCAACTGAACAGTCAGAAAAAGATGTCGAGTATAACCAAGAATCAGAGGCAGAAATGAACTCTGATGCTCCTGACATGAAGCAAGAAGAAGAATCATCAAATGATTGCAAGGGTCACTGCTTAACTCAAAAAGATTTGAGTGTACAAGGAAATAGTACAGAAGTTCAGAGCATGCATGAAAATACGCAAAAGTCAGAACAAGAGTGTGTAGAAAGTGAGTCTCTCAAGGATCTCTCTATGGAAAGCCTAGATTCTCCTATGAAGTTTGTTAATGGCCTTGACAACCTATCTTTGAAAGATGAGGATGATGAAAATGAAGATGAGGAAGAGCTTGCTACTGACTTTTCAAAACTACATTTGAGTGCCAGTGCTGAATCTGGTACAAGTACCTTGGATGACCTTCAAACTGTTCCCATCAAAACATGTGAAGTATTGAGTGAAGATCCAGAAACAGCATTTTGTACTCTTGCAGACAGGGAAGATCTGAGCCCAGAAGAAGGTTCAATCCATCACTGTTTGTATCAATTCACCCGCAATGAAAAACTTACTGAGACCAATAAACTACTCTGTGATGTATGTACACAAAGACATTACGGACCAAAGAAGAACATAAAAAGTATGACAAGTTACCTGTTAAAAGAAAACTATAAATATGTCCCTATGGGTAAAGGGGGTGGGGGAATGTCCCTAAAGTGGTATTTGTGTAAGTTTAACTGGGATTAGTTGAAATAGTGTTCAGTGGGTAGGTTGTGAAGAACCTCTTTCACTCAGATTAACACAAGTACATTCTTAACTTAGCAGAATAGTAGGCTCACAAACTTTGGTACAGAATACTTCATGGCTGGAAAAGAAGAGTGAGCAAAGAGGAGCAGGTTTGGTGGGAAGGGAAAGCACATTTCAATCTAAAAATATATTATGTGGATGAATGTAGAGAGTACCTGTTTAGTAGGTGACTTCTCTGTTCTTTCCTCAAACATGAAAGTTCTGCTGCGAGAGTCCTAGGGACATAATGTTGGTGTTTGCTGAAAAGGCCAGTAAAACCTGCATGTAATTTCTGACTATGATTGTTGCAGAAAACGAGCAAGAATTCATCCTGGTTGTGCTCCCTGATCAGACATGGTTTGCACGGTTGCTTTTGTGATAGGGGATCTGCAAGATGGCAACTGTTGCACAGGTCATCATTTAACATGGTGTTAAAAAGGGGAATGTTCAGTTTCTCAGCTGTTGCAGTAGATGACATTGTAACAGACTAAATAATGAAAATAAATAAATTCTTGCTGTAACATTTGTTTAGGTGTTAATCATTGGTTGTTTTTCTTTTCTGCAGGTGAAAAGAAGTATGTTTATACTAATGCCAAAAAGCAGATGCTAATTTCTCTTGCTCCTCCAATTTTAACTCTTCACTTAAAGAGGTTTCAACAGGTAAGTAGCAGGCTGATAGTGCAAATATATATATATATATAATATCAGTTTAATATGTATATATGTACATAGTACTAGCTTAACTTAGAACTAATGTTAGCATGTTTTCATTTTCTATAAGCCTGTTTGGCTTTCATTTTTTTTTTCTCAAGGTTTGGAAGGTATTGGTGCACAGCTTTGTTTTTTGTGGTCTTTGAGGAGTTGGGGTGTGTTTTCTTAAAAGAATATTCCATTAGTTCTATGGAAAATGCTGTTTTGTGAGCTTCTCTACAATCTATTCTCTCACTACTGTTATTGCTTACTGTATTAAGCAGTATCTTGGCATTAATTGCTTCCTGCTATGGCAGCAGTTCATGGACTCTTACATTTCAGTACAGATAGGATAGAATCCCTTACTAAATGAATGTGACAAATAGGTCAGCAGACTTGGAAAAGAGAGGATTCCAAGTCTGACTGGGGGAGAAGGATTGCATGGAGAGCAATGCAACTTCAGTCTTGTTTATAGACACCAAAGTAAAGTGGCTTACCTTTTTTCCAAGTTGTAGGAAAATTTTTAATTTAGGGCTTTAGCTTTTCAGAAAAGGAACAGGATTGGAATGAAGACAGTATTGCCTTTTCTATGTTTAAAGCTGTTCAGTATTTTAGTCAAAATATTTGAAAAATAAGGGAGGTGACTTTAAGTAGGTGAAAAATTATTTCACAGAGAAAATGGAAGTGTATAGCATATTCCAAGGGACTTCAACGTGACTAGGGAAATAACATTTGTCTTCTCCTCTTGTTTTTCCAGTTTGATACTGGAGGATTACTTGAATAAGGGGAGAATAGAAGTTACATCAGTTTTGATGATATGAGATCCTCAGGCATATTACAGTATCAGAGAAGCAAGAGATGTCCTCGTAGTTAAATAAGTACATTAGAGCTGATTCTTTTTCCGCTCTTGCTATCATTAAGTTACGTTGAAGAGCTGTCTTAACCTGTGCTCCAGTGCAGCATGTGGGGACAAGGAGGTAATGCTGGGAAACCTTGGGCATTGGGGAAAAAAACCCCACAACCCCGTGTTTCTTTTTCCCAGTTTTGTGTAATGTAAAACTGATATTGTATTGTTGAAACTTTAACCTGAAACGCATGCTTTTCATATGCTACATTTTAACATTATGGGGTTTTCCTCTACTTTGTCTGTTTAAGGCTGGATTTAATCTAAGGAAGGTTAACAGGCATATCAAGTTCCCAGAAGTGATAGACTTGGCTCCTTTCTGCACAGCTAAATGTAAAGTAAGTGGGAAAACAATCAGATTCTCCTTTCACAATTAAGCTGCTTAGCAGAATCTTTGAAGCTTGACAAGTGTTCTACAGTTATTTTTTGTGATAATACAGGATAACTTGCAAGTGCAACTTGTACTTGAGCCAGTGTACTTCCACTGATCACTTGCTATGATTCATATGATTCATTACAGATTCATATCTGTAATGACCAGCTTCCCTTTCATCAGCAAACAAATCAAAGCAAAGGGAAGAGTTTATATTCTAGCCTTGTTTAAAACAGTGACTGACACACCTAAACTTTTGCTTTTATAGAACGTGGCTGAAGGGAATACCAAGGTATTGTACTCTCTCTATGGAGTTGTTGAGCATAGTGGAACAATGAGGTCTGGGCACTACACTGCTTATGCTAAAATGAGAAGTATGAACAACCATCTCTTTGATCTTGTCCTTCGAGGACAATCTCCTCAAGGTAAATAATTAGAAATATTTTACAAATTATTTCTTACTGCAGAACAGGAACAGGATTGATTGCTTCAATTCTTTGTAGTAACTTTTACTCCTAAATTCTTCCTTTCACAGCTTTAGAAACTGAACTAGTAAAAGGGCAGTGGTTCCACATCAGTGATACCCATGTACAAGCTGTGTCTGTATCGAAAGTGTTGAGCTCACAAGCCTATCTCCTGTTCTATGAGCGACTGCTGTAACTCATCTGAGAAGCCACCTTATATGTGCAGCCATCTTGCAGGCAGGCAGAGACTTGCAAATCATGTTGGAGCTACTGTATACCACTGCAGGAATATACTTTATGCTTCTCAGACACACTGAAAGTGGTTAACTTATACTTTTTCCAGTGTTTTCACTACTTTTCAATAAAAGGGTTTTTTCAAAATTACACCTTTGAGCTTCTGTTTAGTAATTTATGTGTTGGCACAGACAAGCAACCACTACTTTTAGTTTCCTGCAAGTGCTCTACATCTTAGTCAGCAGCCCTTTCACTTTAAAGGGACCAGCTATAATTCTGAACTGTAGTTATTTCTGCTATCATCTGTTCCATCTGTATTTTAGAACTGAGTTCCAAGCATCAGAAGCTGTTTCTTCCTACACATCTTAGAGCTGAGACAAATTCAGCATCAGCTCTCTTTTCAACTGTTGGTTTATGCCCAATAAAGGACCCTCAGTTTGCAAACTCTCTAGGAATTCTTTTGCATGGGAACCTTATGCTGGTATTTTGGCAAGGCTGAGAGCTCAGATCTCTCTCCCTTTTGCTACAGGCACTCCAGCATAGCCTTTCTGCAGTGGAGCGGTAAGAAAACTGGTCCTGCAGTGACTTGTAACTCTAAAGTTCTCAAGAGGCAAGGCTTCACATTGGGTTTCACATAAATAAAATCTTGGCTTCTCCATGCTAGAGCAGCAGCTGCTTACATTCAGTGCATTATTCACAACCTTACTAAGAAAATGGGCAGTCTTGCATGTTCTTGTTACCCTTGCAGTCATCAGCAGTAGTACTTGTGCAGCTGACTGTATCAGTATGCCAATCCTTCTGAAAACTTGCCGAGTTTATTTTTCAGCTACACCAGCAACTGATTATAAAGTGAGCATCAGCGAAGCTGGTGTATAGCAGCCTTATTTAGGCATAAGATAGTTCCAGACTTGATTTAGCCTTCCACTCCCTTCTGGCTGTGAAATAGAGTAGCACTGGCAAGAGTAATAAAAGGATTAATTATTGAAGTGTCTTGAATTTCAAGTGCAGTTCTCCTTTCAATCTACTCTGAGACACAGGCTGTTTACTTTCCAGGAAGAGTCTTAACAGTTGAGAGATTCCAGCACTGCATCATGCTAGCTATTGGTGCTCAGTGATTATTTTTAAGGCCATTAGAATGAGATGCAGTTCACTGCTGTCAGGCTGCCATCTTGATAGTGTGGAGACTTAAAGGGTGAGGATGAACTAGATGCGTCTAACAAAAACGAATGTAGGCATGGACTACAGCCCTGCTGCCATACTTAATTATTTCAGTGTTCATTTGACTCTTTACACTCAAAATACTGGTAAGAAGCATAATTAAAAGCACCAAGTGCTGCAGCAGTTATAAATGATGCTTTCCTGAAGTTACGAGCTCCCTGCAGTAGGCCCTGGGTCAGTCTCGCTCACGTAGCAGCACTGGGTGCAGGTGCCGTGGTGGCAGGGCGAGCCGCAGGGACGGCCTCTCTGAGGAGAGGGCCTGGGGGGGGACACCGCCAGCTGCAGTGTGCCCACTGCAGGGCACAGCTGAGCCCCTCAGACAAGATGGCGGCACCGCAAGGAAGGGCAGAACGCTGCCTGCACGTGAGGGGAAAAGTGTGAGAAACAGCCCTGCCAGCACCCCCGTGAGAGGAGGAGATGCTCCAGGAACCCGCACAGAGAGCAGGCGGGAGCAGGCTGTCCCCCCGTGGCTCGTGGAGGAGCGTGCTGGACGTGAGCAGGACAGAGGAGGCGGATGTGCGCCTCGGAGAAAGCTGCAGCCTGGAGCAGGTTTCCCTGCCATGAACTGCAGCCCCTGAAGGACCAGGCAGCAACAGTTGTTCCTGATGGACTGTACCCTGCCCGGAGAACCCCCGTGCTGCGGCAGCTCGGGAAGGCCTGCACCCCTGCAGAGGGGAGGCGGGGGGAAGCGTACGCAGGGAGGAGCAGCAGAGGAGCTGTTACAGACTGACCCCAGCCCCCCCTCACCACGCTGTGGGGGAAGAGGTAGAGGAGTTGGGAGTGAAGGAGTACAGCTGAGCCTGGGAAGAAGGGGAGGTGAACAGGAAGGCATTTTTGTTCTTGTTTCTCACCCTCCAACTCTATTTTTAATTGGTAATAAATTAATTTTCTGCATGTAGAAGATGTTTTGCCTGCGCCAGTAATTGGTAATTGATCTCCCTGCCTTTAGCTTGGCTCATGAGCTTTTTCTATTTATTTTCTGCATCTGTTGTGGTGAGGAAGGAGCAGCCAGCCCACCACACCCCTGCCTGCATATTCATATACTGGGAACAACCATGTCATGCGAAGTCCAAATAAAATGACAGTTAACATTTTAACAGTGAGTACGTTTATTGAAGTGTTTGACATTCTGCACTCCAATGGACGCAGTTCATAACTTATAGGCAACAGAGCAAAACGTCATGGCAGCCTTCAACTGGAATATTAAAACACTCACATAATCATGTCACTTAAGAAATACAGTTAAATTGCTCAATCATTTTGGTCTTCATCCCAGTCCTTCTTTCCTGATGGAGGTTTAGGGCCACCAGCTGGTTTTGCCATAATGATCTTGAAGATAAGAGGGAAGTAGAAAAAGGTAAGGTTAGAATCAGACTTACCCCACTCTTTCTTACAGCCATATGATGCTGTCAGCATTCACTAAATTCATGCAGTTCCCCTACCCTGAACCTGAGCCAGTGAATGTTATTACCCAGCTAATTGAGATATTCTTGAAAATGACAGAAGTTGAGCCCTGATAAACAATAAAAGGGCTTTTACCTCATTTTTGCATGCAAATTAAGACTGCTGTTAGTCTACAGAAAGTAAACGCTTAAATGAACTAAAGAGTGACTGGTTTACAGGATGCACACTACAGAAAGCAGAATTATCAGAGCTCTTGTTCTGAATTATTGAGTCTCAACATCAGACTTTAAAAGCATGAAGTCCACTAGTCCAACAACATTAAAGGCTCATTTTCCACACTTGCTACAGTGACAAGTAAGGTAAAACTAAAACTGCACTTGTTATCCCTTTAATGAAAATTTAGTTTTAGGAGTAAAATTAATTTGCACAAATACAAAATGCAGCAATCAGCACACATAAGACAGCAGTGCTGTGTGTCCTGAGAAAAGAGAGAACCTGCCATGTGCTTGTCAATATACTCATGCATGCATTCACACACATAGATACCTCTCTGCTAGACAGAGCTTACTGCATACTATTTTTCAGGCTCATCTTTCCAGTCATCCTTATCCCAATGTCCTTGTTGCTTAGGGGCTTTTGGACCGCCTGCTGTTTTTGCCATAATAATCTACAGAAATTTTACACGCAAATACATTTTTGCTAAAGTTCCACAGAATACATAAAACTCAGATTTTTTTTCTCATTAAGATTATAACTTCCATTTTCCCCAAAAGTTGTATTTCCATGTAAAAAAAAGTGTATGAAAGGAGGTTTCTTATGCTAAATCTCGTTAGGGTAACTTTCTGGATACAAGTACCAACTGTCAAATCTTAAGAAAAGAGAAACATTAATAATGCTCATATGGAAGTGACAACATTACAACATTCCAAATTATGAGCTCTTGAACAAACTACTTCCTGGCTTTCAGAAATAAACAAATATGATGCATTTTCAAGCATCATATTTTTATGCCTTGCATTCTCAGAAGATTCACATATTTTGCATTAGTGTTCTGTACAATGATTTAAAGGTTTCACTTCAGCTGCTGAATTACTTGTAAGCTTACCTGATCTACCCTTAGGACAGTTACTGCTGCATTTGTAGCTAGCTTGATACCCCAGGATTTTCCAAGGTATGTGTCTAACACACCAGATTCCAACATATCCTTCACGGCAGCAGCTTCTGCCTGTCAGACAGGGGGTAAAACATTATTCAAAACTTTCTCAAGCTTCTACATAGCAAGATAGTGGGTTTTCAAGGTTACAGGTTTAGAACTAGTTATCACTTTTCTATCTCCTCTCTTCAGAAAAAATCTTAATTACAAATCCATTATCAGGAAGACAAAATATACTGAAGACACTCTCCATCACATTATTTCAGTATCTCACTTCATCGCCTGTGTAAGGCTACTATACTACATTGAGTTTATCTGCTTGTTGATGAAGAAAACACACTTCAATAATACAATTGAAGCACTTCCAGGGAGGGGGCAGCCACAGCTTTTCTGGGCAAACTGTGCCAGTGTCTCAGCAACCTCAGAGTGAAGAATTCCTTCCCTATGTTTAATCTAAACCTACCCTCTTTCAGTTTAAAAATGTTACCCCTTGTCCTATGCATAATTCATACTGATAGACGCATTTTTAAATATAACCCTGTACTGCAGAGCACCAAGTAATGTGAGGGACTATTTACCTCAATATCGAATCCAACATTTTTGTTCCCTTCCTGATGCACAGCATAAAGTTTGGAGATGACCTCATTAGCCTTTACTCCAGAGTTTTCTGCCAGTGCTCGAGGAATGGCTTCAAATGCCTCAGCAAACTTCTTGATGGCATATTGGTCAAGTCCAGGACAAGTCTAAGGTGAAGTTGAAAACCACATCAGTATTTCAAAAACATAATATAGGAAGGTATTTTCTACCCACATCTTTCATTGATTTATGTGCATTAATACACATATATTTTTCGGATAAAGTAACGTATATAATTTTGTAAGGCACATACCTATTTAAGTACATATATGTGTGTGTCTAAAAAAGTCAAAAAGCCCATTTGCTATACCTCTCCATAAGATGTGATTTGCTTGGCTAATTCAATCTCAGTTGCACCACCACCAGGAACAAGACGTTTATCCTGTGAACAGACCAGTCCAAAATGCAAAGTTTAGCTTAAAGCATCATATTAATTTTTACTTCTTAGAATTTATATACTCTATCAAGAAGAACACAATAGAATTTTATCCCACCCACACTTACTAAGAATCCACTTCAGAACAAACATGCAATATAAGAGAAATTTACCAGAATTTACTCATTCATTCCAAACATCTCTGAAGAACAACAGCTTATTTTATAAAAAGGAAAATAATAATGTAGTGGGGTTTGTATCTGGGGTTTTTTGGTGGATTTTTGTTTGTTTGTTTTTTAAATTAAGTAATTTCAACTCTTTGCTTACTAATAATAGAACTCTTAGATTTTCCCATCTTTTCCTTTACCTTGTTGGGAAATATCATGCAGGAAACCAATCTACTGTACACTAAGTTTAATATGTCAACAGGTAACACAAGGTGTTGGGTAGTTTTGTTTTGGTTGGTTGGTTGGCTTTTTTAAATTAAGCATTTTGTATAGCCTTTGACAAACCAGCATCCACTTAAGAACTTCCAATCTTTTAAACAGGAAAGAATCATCATAAAGCAGAAGTTAGGACAACTCCTGGAGACAGTAATAAATGTAGAGTGAGTCTCTGGCTGCTTCTGTACTCTAAATCAATGTGCATATGTTGGTATGTACAAGACAAAGTGTCAAACAGAAGTTTAACATCTTTTGCATGCCACCTCCCGAGTAAATACACGAACATTTCCTTCTGCATTAAAAAAGAAAAGAAGAATATTCAAGTCCACAAAAGCTGCTCAGAAAATAACGGAGTTCTTCCATTTCTAAAGCATATTTGAGGCATGTGGAAGAAGAATGTTTTGTCCCCAATGGAACTAGAAATTTAGTCTGCAATCAGTCAGTTCCTCCTGATCCTCACTGACAATCAAAGCTACCTATTTTTTTCTTCTCTACCTGGTTTCCAAGCAACATTGCAAAACACTTAGGGAAACAGCCAACAAAGAACTGACTGCCATTATGAAGTAATAAAACTATCTTCAAGAACTCACTTCATTACTGGAAAACTGAGTACAGTACATGCTGAGCACCATCTTTTATGTATGCTGTATTCACAAGGACATCAGCAGCAATCTTCTCTACACCTCAGTATTACACAGCCTTCTCTACACCTCAAAGTCTCCTAAGCTGATAATGTAAATATCTGTGACAGCCTTTGTACTAAATGAGCACAAAGCAAGCACAAGTCTTGCCTCAAACTGATCCATAGCTCAGTTCTGATAACTGAAGTGTTCTGGTTACTTACTCTCGTGAGTACTTTGAAAGTATTTACACCATCATCCACTGCTCTCTCTATGTCATCCATCAGATTATCTGTAGATCCACGAATGAGTATAGTAGAAATGGCACCATCTTCCTTTTCTGTTCAGAGACACTTGCATTACTGAATTAAGCTTGTTAGATGTAAAACACACATGAACATCATACTTCTAGAACAGTAGCATTAGGAGTTCTACAGAACATACATACCATGCTTAAACACAACTACTTGTGTATCCCCAACCTCTGATAAATACACGCTATCGCAGTGACCCATTTCTTCTAGAGTAGGGGGAGTCTGCAAAGAAAAGCAAGAGTTAAGAGGTGAACCTGCGCATCAGTTCTCTCCCTTCTGCTCATTTGAAAAGTCCATACCAGTCTAGGTAAGGCCGTTGCACCAACAGTTTTGCAGAGTCTCCTCAGATCCCACTTTGAGTTCAACCTTTAAAAACAAGTTTCCAGAACAAATGTTAACATGTATGATTAAATATTCTCTTAACTTGGCAGCATTTTGTAAACTAATGACATCTGTCAATATTTACAGCATCAAGTTATAAAATCCATTTATCTATTTTTTTGAGCTATAATTATCTATTTCAGGGATGCTATGCAAATGCTATTTTCTAACAATTTAAAAACAAATAGTTCAAATACATGGAAATTATCAAACTTCATCTTCTAGTGCATAAGACTTGACCTTTACAACACCTCTACTACAATCCCTCTTTGTTATGCAGGAGGTTACAGCATCATGCTCCATTTCTAGACATTCAAACTTTTTGGACACCACCAATAAAGTTACAGCTTTCAACAAAGGACCACTTATTTGTGTGAGACTTGAGAGCTGCTGCTAGTAATCAGGCTTCATGTTGCACAGGATATATTTCAAGGACATACAAACATGCTTTATTTACAAATATTCTTATTTAAGGCCCATAAAAATGACAGAAAAGTATTAAGAATTAGTTCTTCAATCCATCGATACATTAGTGATGCATGGAAGCATCTCTCATCATTGCTAAAGCATCATGTGAGGATCATGACCAGGAGGAACCATTATATATAGTCTTATATGCATTTGAGGCCACATCCCTTTTAACTACAGCTGCAAATTTTTATATTCTTGATTTCAGGTGTGCTATAAAGGCATTTAAATCTGAGTAACAGTATCATATACACATGTTACTCCCCAGCGAGCTGTCATACTGAGGTGAAATACTACCAAGAAATATAAACTACTGAAGAAACAAATTGCAGCTTGCATTTTAATCCACTAGAAACCCAAAGTCTGGAATACTTTGTTTCTAA